AAAAGGTAAAAATAAAAATCCAATTCACGAGAACAGGAAGCTGCAAACAAAATGCTCCTGGCTGGGCATCATAAAACAGAACGCTGGTCACTCTGGGGAAGAGGGGAGTGGCAGAGACTGAGAGAGAGCAGGACCATGGTATCTGTCTTCTGAGGTGCCAGCGTTCTCTCTTGACCTGGGATGAACACATTTATGACAAGAAAGCTAAAAGGGTTACTACAGACACTGTTCCTTTTCGGCTTATGATACAGAATTATTCAACTTCCAAGAATTTCATAAGTCAGTGTGAAACACACTTAATACTAAAAACCAAACCTCACCAACAGCTTCAATTCTATATATATGTTAGAAAAAAAGTAATATTTAAATCTCCTCACTTCCTCATTATCAGTGTCCATGCTCTAAAGGCTTCTTAATTCTATTATGTCTGCATGCTGGAAACACTGCAGAGTAGGGAATTACTATCGCACGTAGACAGGGTTGAGTGAGAAGCTGACCCTGTCATAGAGAAATCAACTATATCACAGAGCTCAGCAAGTGCTGTAAGCTCGGGCTCATTCTGTTGGTGGTGACTGTCTACACTGTTAAAGGTGACAGTAAAAATGTCAATGTGGACTCAACTTAAAAGTATGCCACTGCCGGCTTGGGCTCAGAGAGGTAACACAGACAAAAGCAAGAAGACCTGGATGCGGATGCCCAGCACAGGGAAAAGCTGGGAGTGGCAATGTGCACTTGTCATCCTAGTGAAAGGCAGAGGCAAGATGACCCCAGAGCCTGCTGGTCAGTCAGCCTGGTCAACTAGAGCTTAGAGCCCACACAGAACCCTCTGTAGCAGAGGGTTTCTTTTGGATCACCACCCAGCGCCCAAATGATGGCATGGAGACTTATCATTAGTTATGAATGTTCGGCCTCAGCTTATGTTTATCCTACTAGCTCTTATAACTTAACCTGTTTTGCTTCATCTACATTTTGACTCAGGGCTTTTTACCTTTCTTTCATTCTGTATGTCCTACTCCGTGTGTAGCTGGCATCTGCCTGGCTGGCTTACCCCAAGGGTTTCCCTCTTTTTCTCCCTCTTTGTCCCCGCCCCCAGCCTGTATTCCTCTCCTATCTATTCTCTCTGCCCACCAGCCTCTCCTATCCCTCTACTGCCTAGCTATTGGCAATTCAGCTTCTTTAGGCAGTAGATACTTTAGGCAAACAAAGCAACACATCCTTACTTTTTTTTTTCAAGACAGGGTTTCTCTGTGCAACAGCTCTAGCTGTCATGGAACTTACTCTGTAGATGAGGATGGCCTCAAACTCACAGAGATCTGCCTGCCTTTGCCTCCCAAGCACTGGGATTTAAGGTGTGTGCTACCAATACCCAGCACATCTTTACATTGTTAAACAAATGCAGCATAAGCAAACATAACACATCTTTACATAGTTAAAGTAATAGTCCACACAACCCACTCTCAAAAGATAAAGTGGAGAATGACAAAGACACCTGGTGTCAACCTCTCACCTCCACACACATATGCACGGGTGTTCACATGCATAGGCACACACACCTAGACAAACACACACACACATATGCATATACCATACACACACACATACACATATACCATTTCTGATGTTTTTACATTATAAAAACACAAAAAATGAATATTCTTCCAATATTTGAAAATGATCCTATCTGTCAATGTTGCATAAGTCGTGGGTGAGTGAGTAAAATTCCAAGATGCTTTATTCTTCATGGCTTTACTACCATCTTACTAATGAAAACAACTTATCAACCAGCATTCCTCCATCAACACAGTCACATGTCAAACAGGGACATGAGAGTGGACCAGGATCAATAAAAGCATCCTATGAAGTTCATAAGAAATACTGGACAATTGCTATTTCTAAATTATGAGCATATAGCTACATACCCTTGTATTGGTCATATCTGTAGTGGACTAACATGTGATTGTGTGTGTCCATAAGTTATTGTGAACATATATTTTTCCAGAAAAGTCATTCTTACACACCCATCAGCATCCATGTGAGATGATCATTCATAAAGTAACTCAATTATGACTTATGTACTCTCTTAAGTCACTGCTCATTTGTGCAGTCAGCAGTCAGCAGGCATCAACAGAATGTCCCAGTCTTGTTCCCCACACCTCTTCATTCCTGTGTCTGGAAGCTAACCACGAGAAGGAAAGCTTTCGCCATGGCCGTTTGCTATACATGATGTAATGAGACAAAGCACTTCGGGCTGAATAACTGAGCAGTGAGTTTGGCGAGTGTAGCTTGCCCTCTATTTAGAATCACATGTAGCCAGAATAATGGAATCATGATGGACACTGCTAGTTAACCACAAATTAGTTAAGCCAGCACAGCTATCCTAACACATTTGAGAACTGGCATTTTCTGGCTTAAACTTATTTTTATTATAATATAAAAACACTCCTTCCACTTGCTCATATTTACTTTCAGTATATCCTGTCTAAAGTTTTTTTAAAAAAGCATTTGTTATTTCTACATAACTCTCTGATCCTCAAGTATTGTTAAGACTATAACTCACAGTCAATTAACTCTTGGTGAAAATGACCAGTGTTCCTCTATCTTGTGACTAAAAATACATATCCTTTTAAATAGAATTCAAGTTAATGTAGGGCAACTTACATTTCTCAGCATACATCTATATTGACTATAAGCTTAAATGACAAAATAATAAATTCAAATTTCCATTGGCTACAGTCTGAACACATGGATTCCTCTAAATGTCGCATCAAAACCCAGAATTTTTGTTTATAAAAAGTGTTTTCTTATGAAAGAAAAGCTAATGGAATTTTTTTTAAAGAAACACTTTGACACTGCTCACAACATGCTTTAGAACTCAGGTGCACAGTCATGACCCTCTGAAGCCCAGTCCCACGTATCTTCACGTGTGAACAGGAGGTGGAGCTATGCTGGTAGATGGGACTGAATACACCAGCACACAGCTCCAAAAGGGGCAGAGCAACAGCCACGTTCATGGCACTCGGGGAGGGCACTGTTTCTACTGCTGTGTGTGCTGTTCCGTCACTCAATCCTGCACACAGAGCTAAAAGGCAAATACACTAGCAATCCCTGACCAGACTATTATAAATTCCTTTACCTGCTGAGCCATTTCATGAGCCCAAAATAAATTCCTCTTATCCTCCTTTTTATACCTAGGAAGCTAAGTGTCTGAAATATAGAAGGCTTTCAGAATTCTATACACAAAGTAATAAATCTACTAGATTATAAGAATACACAAACGTGTCTATCACTAATTTTGTTTTGCCTATTTTTGTGGTAGGGTCTCAATTTACTATGTAGACAATACTGGCCTTGAACTCAGAGATCTGCCTGCCTCTGCCTCCCAAGTGCTGGGATTAAAGGTGTGGCCACCACACTGAGCCTAAAATTGGGATCTTGATGGAGAGACAGGTAGGAACCACTACAAAGGAATAAAAAGCAGAGAAACTCTGGTCCCTTTACCTACTCATTACAAGTGAGCTTTAAACAGCTTTGTCATAAAACACCTCATCAGGCCATGAGGCCAGACTACTTACCAAGTAGGAGCTCCTATAGCTAAATGTTTATATACTTACTTAACTAAATATTTTCAAGATAATTACTGTCTTTATCATGGGTAATACAGTCTGATGTTTCTGTTTAATTTTTTCAAGCCTGTTACAACACACCAACCAAATGTTTTAAAAAAGTATGTATAATACCCGTAATGATCCTTCCATCTTCATTTTCAAATCACCTTAGTCTTGGGAACTCGTCTCTACTAAATTTTGCATGGTTATGATAATCACATCAGAGACAACTACACCTTTCAAGCTACCATGACACTTCCATGTTTGTTTTTTTAGTAATACTCCCTTTTGTTTCTGTGGTGACTCATATATCTCTTCTACCTCCTTAACAACCACAGAAATAAGAAAGGCTGATTTTCCAGTGATAGTCTGAGTACTTAGCATGTCAATGACAGGGTAAGACTCAGACAGTCATTCAGAAACACTGCAAATGAAAAGTCATTCATAACCTCCAGGGGAACATGTTTGACATTCGACAACCGTTTTCTGGTTACCTTGTCCTCAGTTTAAGAGTCACACTTAAAACCCAAGATTTATTTAGCTGTGGACTTCTATCCTCAAATCCAATCCATACTTTAATGGTGGAGGGGTTGTCTTCAGACTCCACCCCTCACTCTGAGAGGACTAGAGCTCTCTATACCTCGGTCTTACTCTGAAAAGGGGTGTGGGGCTGTCTCATGAATTATTCATGAATGGTGCCCAGAGCCACCCTATAAGCCACAGCCAGGATTACTCCTAGTCTTCCTTTCCTTTGTGTAACGCTGCTGCAAAGGGTCTGCTTTAACTCATACATCCATACCTGAATGTGTTTGTGTGTGTGTGTGTATTTACTTTATTAAATACTTCTGTACTTGTGTGCACATTTACTGTACTGTTGTAGGACAATCTTTTTGTACACTGTGAAGATGTGTCTCTGCCTAACGCACATTCTGATTGATTTAATAAAGAGCAGAATGGCCAATAGCTAGGCAGGACAGGATAAGCAGGACTCCAGGGAGAGAAATGAAGAGTCTGAGGTGCTCGAATTAAGCCAGCGAGGCTTGGAGTCAGACATACAGAATGGATAAGAGGTAATGAACCATGTGACAGAACACAGATTGATATAAATGGGCTAATTTGAGTTATAAGAGCTAGTCGGGAACAAGCCTAAGCTAAGGTCAAACATTCATAGTTAGTAAGTCTCCATGTCTTTATTTTGGACTGATGGTCCAAAGAAAGTCCAACTACACTTTACTAACTACATCTATGACTGTGTGTGTGTGTGTGTGTGTGTGGTGTGTATTTACTACACCTGGCCTGTGAAATATAAAGAACACTAAGGAACCCTGAAAAGTCAACACCAATTCCAATATCTGCCAAGGCCCTGGGCTGCAAGTGAATGAATTAGAGTCTTGCCTTGTCATCTCTCCCTCTTGCTCTATAGTCCTTGTCCCTGCTTGCAGGTTTGTCACTCTTGGCGATCGGGTGTGCTCGGCCCACGAGTCCTCGGGCTCCTGCTCCCACGTCTTTCCTCAGAGGCCTCACTTCTCGGTTAGGACGTCTGAGCTGAGGTGGAGCTCTGACAAAAGACAGACAGGAAACCAAACACTCATCAAAGACAAGTATGGAGCACCATCTTACTCAAGAAGCTGTCACATTTTCCTAACAGACAGTGGTGACACATACGGAGCCAGAACTCTGCCAAAAGAAACCATTAATCACCAACAGAGGGTAACTCAGCCTGCGTCTGAACTCCATTGACTGCCTTAAATCAAGAGTAGTTAACTTTGAAAAAATTAAGACATTTTCATTAAAGGACAGGATTTAAAACCACTATTTGCATAGTTTAGATCTTTCCTTTTTACACCAAGATGACTTTCTCCACGTATGCTGGAAAAGTCAGCATTTCACAAAGCAAAGGAGAAGTGGCAGGGCTCAGCACTGACATGGTCTTATAAACAATGCATTTATGAGGGAAAATAGCGTCCATGCCTTGTGGGTGTCAAAAGTCATTCTGGGACTCCAGGTGTGATTAATAATTCCAGTGGATGCAATGTCTCACAGCAGCACGTTTTGTCAGTACAACGCAGCTTCCACAGTCCAACACTGAGCCTGGACTCTCAGCATAGCTCAGCGTCTCTGGGGGGGGGGGGGACTCTGGCTTCCATCTCCTTCCTTCTCAAGCCATGCCTCCCTTTGCTCCCTACCTTTCTCCCCCACGCATGGCTACACTGACATCTGTGGCAGTGCAGACCTCTGTGTGCAACTGCTTTTTCCTAGTATTACCACATTTACTGTCCCACCTCTAGGCTCATGGGTTGTATGTGGATTTTAGCTCACTTTCCTGTTCCTAATGCTTTCATTAGCATATGTTAATCATACATGCTAACGAATTTCATTATGACATTTTCACACACGTACATAAAGTAATCACACTCAACCCTCAATTACCCTCTTGCTCTCCACCCACTCCTACCACCCTGTTTCTCTTCCAAACTAGTTCCTCCCCTCCCCCTCCCTCCCTCCTTCCCATCATTCCTCTGTGTGTGTGTGTGTGTGTGTGTGTGTGTGTACGCGCGCGCGCGCGTGTATAAAAGAGTTTCACTACGGTTGTCACAGGAGCACGTGCACCTGACCCATGTTACACCACTGAAAAGGCCTCTCCTTCCCACGTTAACTCAGGGAAGAGTGGGGCCCCACGAGCACCCCCTTCCATGACAGGGTGCCGAAGGGTCAGTCTTGTAAAGATCTTGTGCATGAAATCACAGCTGCTATGAGTTCAAGAGCACAATCCATGCCATGCCTGGAAGTGAGCATTCCACAGTCCTCCACCCTTCCTTCCGACTCTGTTACACTCTTTCCATCTCCTCGTCTGCAATGCACCCTGCAGTCTCGGGGTTTAAATTCACCTACTCACCAGAGTTTCCCTCCTGGTGTGACAAACGGTGGCACAGTAACAGCCAGTTTGACAAGACAGGAAAATGGCTGACGATCCACACACTCGGGGAAAATGGCAAAGTAGTGTGGCAGTTCCACTACAGTCTATGGTCTAACGTACGAAGACCCCAGGTCTCACTCGGTCTCGGGATGGTGGTTCACCTTTGGAAGTTGAGTACTTCAGCAAGTGAGCCTGGCTGATGCAGTGGGTTGATGAGGAAGAGTCCAGCCCTGGGCCATCTCTGCTTCTTGATCCGCTCAGTGCACCACTGCCTCACACTTCCGCCTCCCACACTCCCCCCACTGCCCTTCATTTCATGATGACGTCCCCAGAAAAAAATAAGCCTTTCCCCATCAGAACTCTGTCACGGCAGGGAGAACACTAACCGCTGCATAGAGCATCTTCATATTGTGAGAATCTGCTGAGAATAAATCAGATGCTGAGAGCCGCAGAGCTGTCTGTCGGGCTACTCACACTGATATCTTCATCCTCAGAGTGTAGACTGAACAACCATTTTTAGCATACAGCTAGTGACACCAGGAGAAGACAGAGATAAGCAAACAACAGTGTGACAGGGGTCCACGGAAAAGGAACTGGTCCAGAATCCACAGCAGGATAACCAGAAGACACTTTGGAAGTTGAAGTTTTATCACATTATTGGTTCTAGGGCATTCTTAGTCACTTAAACATTCATTAATGAAATAAAGCGGTGAAGAGACTGGTGAAGAAAAAGACCTAACAATGACAAATTGCTGTTTAGAACACTGCAGCTCTGGGGACCTAGCTCAGTAGCAGACCACTTGCCCAGCATGCACCAAGCCCTGGTTCAACATCTAGCACAGGAAATAAAATAAAAGCTCCAGCCTTTTAGTGTCTCAATGTGATCCTTCTGTTGCTGTTTGGGCTGGGGCAGGCCTGTTTTACTTGCATTTTCTGTTTTGAGGAAGAGAGAGACAGTGGTCGGGTGCAGTCTGCTTTGTGTATTTGTGCATTTGTACATGCAGAAATGTGTTTCCTGCATCAGTCAAGGGCATCAGCAAAGAAAAGAAATCGAGACTATCTCTCCACTCAGCACACATGGAGTTCTCCTATTGTTAGCAGCTACTTATGACTGTCACTGCGGTCCAGCTTTTTAGACACTACTCCAGCATGAGGCCTCTGCTCCCCTTCAGCAAGGCCAGCCCTTACAGCTGCGCGCAGGCTCTCCACAGTTGCTGGCCTTGCCCTGAGACAGTCCTGACTCTCGGCCCGCTACTTAGCAGCTGCTCAGAAATCCTCCCATAGTCCGCTTTGTACACACATCTGGCTTGGTAAGCTATGTCATGAGATTCAGTCTAAGCCAGTTCTCGGGCAGCCTTCCAAGGGCTGCCACTGAGCTTCTCCTGCCACGCGCTATTCCGATGGGCTCACAGAGGCCCTGAATGAAGTGCTCAGCAAGCTATAGGTGGCATTTGTGGGAGCTATGTGTGTGCTCTCCACATCTTCAGTTCCACCTCGCTGCGGCTGGGTATTACATGTGTAACAGACCCTGCCAGTGTCCCAAAGGACACCCTTGATTCTGTTCTGTCTCCTTTGTCCATTGCTGCATCACTGCACAATGGCATGCTTCCCTGTGGGGCTCTGTGACAGCTTCCGGGCTGTGTAAGCAACAAACTCACATGGCTTCTTTTTAAAGAGAGGCTTTAGGGGGGCTGCCCAACACCACAGACCTGGTCCTGACGATCAGACAGAGACTGACACTATACTAGCATGCAGCTTTTCAAACACAGAGAGCAACTAGTCATCAGAACATAACAAATAAACACCAGCCTGGAATTCTGCACTGAACTACTATTTAAGAGCAGCAGGAAGAGAGATGTTCTAAGATACAAACTGACAGCTTACACCAAGAGGGACCTTCACTGTGAGAACCACTCAATACACATCAGCAAGGATGAAAGTGAAGCAGAAAGAGACGAATACGGAACAGAGAGGTGCAAACAGGTGTCTACACACTCCTTCAAGAAATGCTTCTGGAATGCCTACACTGCACCATCTGTTCTTGGTGCAGGAGACACAGCAGCGATCAAGTCCAAGGGCCCAGGTCTTTAGATCACACGACTTGGGGGACATGAACAATAAGCATTATGCAGTCTGGTAGCAGTAAATACAAAGGGATAGTCTAAGGGAAAGACAAGTAGGATGTCAGCCACGGAGAGTCAGGAGGAGCTGCAAACCTGCCCGCACACCCTGCCGTGCCAGGCTGCTCTTCATACTCCCCATGCATCATTCTACTTCATTCTCACAAGCATGGCAGGGGGCAACTGCCACTCTGATCTCAGTTACAGAGGAGGAAATGAGGGCGAAGCTAGCTAGCTTGTCCTTGGGGCCACTGAATAGCAGAGCTGGGAGGAAACACCCTCTACCCCCGGAGGGGGCAACTGGTCTATGCAAAGGCAGCAGCCTTCCTCGTAGAAGATGCTGCAAGGCAAGAACCTCACCCTTGCTTGTTAGCATCCAGAGGGTACCGGCGAGGTCAAGATGAACTGCATCGGGAAGAGCATGGGAACTGGGGACCAGAGACAAGAGAAGGACATGCGAGAAGAGGCCACAGTCACAAAAGGATGGAGCACAACATGGAGCCATGTAAAAGGCACACAGCAAAAAGAGAGAAAGAGTTCCAACAGAGACGCAAACAGCAAGTGCCACAGAAGTGAGGAGAGAGTCCAGAGGGAGCGGACGGCACTGTTACACTAGTGAGCTGCTCAATGCGGTCAAGAGTTCAGTCCCCGTGCCGCAGCGACTGAGGATGTGGGATTCCTAGTAACTAAGGAGAAGGGGAGGCAAGTTGCACTCAACAGCAGACAGCAGCTTGCCAGGGAAAGGACAGCAAGGCAAAGCTTTTACAGTCCAAATGCAAAGGTGTTATGGTTTCATTCTGACATTGCTGTTTTGCACTCCTTTAATTGTCTCTAGTAAATTATAATTCTACTTTCAGTTAAAACATGGAAATCCTAAGGTTAGGGGGCTGGAGCGATGGCTCAGTGGTTAAGAGAACTGCTGCTCTTGAGTTCAGTTCCCAGCACACACATGGCAGCTCACAACCATCTGTAACTCCAGATCCAGATCAGATGCCCTCTTCTGGCCTCCACAGGCACCAGGTACACATGTGGTACACAGATACACATGCAGGCAAAGTATTCACACACATAAAATAAATCTTAAATATACATACATATATATAACATATACATATATATGATATATAGATATATATATACACGGCACTCACTGTAACAAACTGTACCTAGAACTCCAAAATTCAAATTCAAGTGACCACTGTATTTTGTAGCAGGAGACAGATGTTTCCTACTGGAAGCTTATACAAGAGGAACAATGAAAGTATAAAAATCGAGAACAAAGTCCTACAGAACACCTTCCTCCTTCAGACACCCGGCCCTCACCTCTGGCCTTCGCAGTCTTCCTTGCTGCTCTTCCTGTGAAGTGGCAACAGCACCTGCAGGCGGGAGCTGTTTCTCTACACTTGCCACACTGCTGCAACTGAGCTTTCTGTCCCCACCACTGCATCAGCGCCAGTGCTCCTGAGACCTGAAGGGCACCGGCCCTGCAGCAGTGCTTCCCACCCAAGCATCGTCTTGTAG